CGCGCTAGCCTAAGGGCCACCTTAGCAAAGCGCATCCCAGGCTGCATAGCCGCACTACCCTACCCAACCATACCACACATAAACATGACACTACCCCCGGGGTTTACACAGACGAGCCGGCGAAGCAAGAAGAGCGCCAGAAGAAAGGGCCCTAGCCGGCGGGGCCCAGCCAGGACAAAAGGAGGTCCCACAAAGCGCCTACACCGGCCGCATTTGCGGTCGGGGTAGACGACGGATGGGGCCCACCTACGAAGGCTGTCCAGGCCTACACGAGATGAGGCAGGATAAAGAGGGATAATCCCCCTCGATCCCAAATCATTGAGGCCAATTTCTAGCCATAGAATAATGGCGCGCGGTTCCCAACCGTTCGAAATGTTTGGCCAGCTAAATTCTAAATGTGTCTGCACCTGCAATGAATATATCGCAAGAATTAGTTTGATGCACATTTCTGACGGTTTGGAACCAATCCCTGACTCTTGTTGGAACAGACCTAGTGTTGGTACCCATGGAAATAGATACTGTCAGTCTAGGGTCTAGGTGGTCTATGGGTGAAGTAGTTTTAGTTTATAAAGTGAAATAAACATAAACATAATAATAATTAATAACCTAGAATTTGACCATGAGCATGAGGTGCATTAAAATTATATTTTAAAGTTTTGATGAAAGTATTATGCATTATATGAAGAGAATATAAATATGGAAGTCGAACCATCATGTAGCTCTATCCAAATTAAAAGTGATAATATTATTAAATGTAGTGTTCCAAAAGAAATTAAAAGTGAGGATGACAATGCTACTGAAGAAGTTAGTATACCTGAGTATAAGGCTAGTCAAAACCATAAAAACGATTTTAATATACCAGGCATGCCCGAAGAATATAAAGAAACTTACGAAGCTTATATCAATAAGGTTACAGCCTTAACATCTGTTCCTATAATCGAATCTATAACTCCTGAACATCTTAAGAACTTTAAACATTTTAACCTGAGGTATTATGAAGATAAATACTGCATCAATTTCGCTGTATCAGAAGCAGGTTACAATGACGTACTTATCCGAATTCATTCCAATAAACTGTTCTTGATATCGTTAGCTAGCGGTAATGACATTATTAGATGTGGTAAAGATATTACTGGAACCAATTTTATGATACACAATAATGACAGATCGGAAATCAAATTGGGAGGCAAAAGGAAAAAAGGCGCAAAAGTTATAGAGCCCCACACAATTCTTTGTCAAGTTAAGTGTGAAGGAATGCCTAAAATGTTTAATATTAGAGCTGGTGTACCTGGTAGGATCATTGAAATTAATGAACATGTGAAAAAAGATCCAAATCTACTGAGAAAAGATCCCAAGGGATACGGCTATTTGGCTGTAGTAGCGCCCAAGGGTCATCCCTCGGATTACGAAAAAGTAATGAACAATTTAAAATTGTTATCTGAAGAAGAATATGTTAAATATCTGACAGAAAGGACACCAAAATTTTCTGAACTGTCTGAACAAATTATTTTAAAGTATAATGAGTGATGTTTACTTCCTTAAGTTTACAATAATGGTGTAATGGTGTATAAAAATCCCTGCCAGACTATCAAATTTCTATTAAATTTGTTTAATTAAAATAGTTGGAAGATGTTATTTTGAGGTCACGACAAGTTTGATAAAACTGTCAAGCTTAGCAAACTCTTTTTATTAATGGTTCTCTATTTTCCAATTAAACGAAAGATGATAACATTTATTTACCAATTTAGTAGATTGACCAAATCAGTTTGATCAAAACATGATATAGACGAACGGTCCACCCCTAAAAAGATGCTTAGAAAATCAAGGTCACCGACCACGAGGAGGGGCCAGGATGAAACCTTTTGTAATCGATGCATTGAGTTATTGCGAACAAAAAACCTAAGTAACATTTTTGTGTCTGAGTGGCAGGTAATTTGTTATTAACAAAAAAGTTGCAAAATAGAAATATTGCAAAAAAACGCTCTGCAAACAATTTTCGAAGGTAAATCGTGTCCTTTTCGAGCTAGGGACGATTTAAGGGCGAAAAATGGCTAAAAGTTGACAACTTTAAAAATTCATATCTCAGCTCCTGCCTAAGTGTTCGGGACGTTCAACAGCGCAAAATGATCCTCGAGACTTATACTTTAATGAATTTTTTTTAAACCCGCCCCTTTTTTTTAACCCGTTAAATTTGCAGTTGAATTTCGGCCGCTAGTGCCCACGCGCCATCCCTACGTATCGCTATATATAGATATAGCGCTGTTGTGCATATAATCAAATAAACGCTATTCATTCATTACTTTTTACAATTTTTACTATTTAGTATTTCTAACACTCATACATATTTTCAAATTCATCAAATATTGTATATCATAAACTTTACTATTTAATAAAAAATCAATTTTCAGTTTTCCAATCAGTATCATTAGTTTGTATTTCTGCATTTTGACATTTTATAGAGCAATTGCAAAGATCGCAACATTTGAAGCCTTGTGATAAGCAAGAACAAAATAAATGTCTTCATCGCTGCACGTTAACTTTCCACTGCAGGAACATATCAATTTTTGTAACATTTCCATGGCCGTATCTCCTTCAAAATAATTCTAGCATTATTTTTTAATATCCAGCCACATTGTGTTGGGACCATTCATTGATTTGCCATTTAACACGCATAACATGTTGTAACAATACAGGCTTTGCCAGAGATGATACTGATTCGGAGACTGAAAACTGATTTTTTATTAAATCAGCGTTGCTTATAGAGGGCGCCACTTACGACCAATTTTATTAAAAATTTAGTTAACAGTTTACCCTGCATGTCTAAAGTGAAACTTGATTTAAAACCTGAAACAGCAATCATTTTTCCATTAATTGTGTATTCTTGTTTCATTTCGGTATCTCGATCCTTTTTCGAGAAAAAATCAGTTGTTATTAACAATAAAACAAATGAAATTTCTAATAATGCTTTAAAGTAATTCTTTGCAGAATCCACTGTTTACACTTATACACTTTACACAACGTTTTCTGAGAGATCTTCGAGTTTGAAACAACATATTGGGATTGCATTTGACGTCGTTGTCAGTGATTTGTATTATTTGCCACAACACTTCACGCGAACCAATAGATCCTTTGTAAACTATATCTTTCATTCGAGACCAAATAGAAAAATCTAGAGGATTGAAGTCCAGACTTCTGGGTGGCCAGGCAAAAATGCTTCCACGGCTTGAAGAAGTTCCACTTTATTTAAGAAGAGACATGTACGTATGCACGACGGAACTCCACGGCATTTTTCTTCAGTGCGTGCATATTTAGATGCAGTTTTTCCAAATCGCTTGATTTTTCTATTTGGTCTCGTATGAAAGATATAGTTTACAAAGAATCTGTTGGCTCGCGTGAGGAATTGTGGCAAAGAATACAAATCGCTGCCGACAAAGTCAGACGCAATCCCAATATGTTGTTTCAAATTCGAAGATCTCCCAGAAAACGTGTACAGTGCATCAGTATCAACGGTGGATTCTTCGAACAATTACTTTAAATCATAATTACCTATTTTATTTGTTTTATTGTTAATTGTTGTAATAACACGAAGAAACACTTGGTTTCTTTCACTTTTAATTTCTCGTATTATCAAAACATAGTGTTCGTTAAACCGATTTTTCTCGAAAACGAATCGAGATACCGAAATGAAACAAGAACAAATTAATGGAAAAATCTCTCTTTCAGGTTTTGAATAAAGTTGCATGTTAGACATACAGGGTAAAAAGTTATCAACTAAATTTTCGGCAAAATTGGCTGTAAGTGGCGCCCTCTATGAGCAACGCAAAAATTATGACACGCATTTTTTTAAAGTTTTTCAAGTTCCTAACCTACATATTTTTAGAATAATCGCAAAAAACAACTTAAAATTTTAACATTCTGTTGAATTTATGTATGTATTTCCGAAACTATCAACTTTCGGATAAGGAATGTTTGCGCCAGTGGTCACCATTTTACGTGTAGTATCTTCAGCTTTTGATTTTCCCATTGTTAATTAATCACCCTGTATATAGCGATACGTTAGGGGTGGCGCGTGGGCACTAGCGGCCGAAATTCAACTGCAAATTTAACGGGTTAAAAAAAGGGGCGGGTTTAAAAAAAAAATACTAATTTAAAGGATCATTTTACGCTTTTGAACGTTCGGAAAGCTTTGGCAGGAGCTGAGATATGAATTTTTAAAGTTGGCAATTTTTAGCCATTTTTCGACCTTAAATCGCCTCTAGCTCGAAAAGGAAGCGTTTTACGAAAAAATGTGAAGAGACGAAAAGTGTTTATTTTTGCCCAATTTACCTTTGAAAATTGTTTGCAAGGCGTTTTTTTGCAATATTTCTATTTTGCAACTTTTTTGTTAATAACAAATTACCTGCCACTCGGACACAAAAATGTTACTTAGGTTTTTTTTGTTCGCAATAACTCAATGCATCTATTACAGAAGGTTTCATCCTGGCCACTCCTCGTGGTCGGTGACCTTGATTTTCTAAGCATCTTTTTAGGGATGGACCGCTCGTCTAATAATGGTATGTTATCATTATCAAACAAATTTGACAGAAATTTAATAGTTTGACAAGGGCCTATCATTTTAATTTGAGTAACATTATGAAGGCATTTATACAATAACTAAATCAGTGACTTTTTTGTTTTTGAATTTTAATAAAAACCTGAAACACATTCTTGAGTATACTATTTATAAAGTAGCCTTAGTAGCCAATCGGTTAATCTATTCTTTCTTTTTCTATGATTTAATCTCACTAAATTGATCGATAAGTATTTAGAATAACTAAAACTACCTGAGAAATCGGGTAAGCAAAACACTTCTTTCATCACTTGTAATTTGGAATATCATAAAACAACCGTTTCATCGCCAAAAATTCGCCTACTTTTCATAGATGTGAAATGAAATTAGATTCAAAAACATAACCTTAAAAACTCAAATTTTGTCTTGATTCTTGATCATGTCTAATACATTCGAAAAAGTTCCTGGATTTTGTCCAGACTGTGGATCTATTCTTCCACCTTTGAGAGAAAAAGGTGGCGTGACTTGCTACACATGTTCTAGGGTCTTTGCTGGAGATTTGAGTGAAGGTATGTCCTTTTTAAATTAAAAACAGTTATGCTTTAGGATCCTCGTTTTAGTTTTTGGAAGTTCCAGCGTCAAGTACACAATACATTTTAACTCTCGAGAGGCTAGAGAAAAAGATAACAAAGAGGAAAAGAAAGATGAGGAAGATGAAGGTCCAACTGTAGAAAGAAAATGCCCCAAATGTGGGAATGACAAAATGTCATACGCTACTTTGCAGCTCCGTTCAGCTGATGAAGGGCAAACTGTATTTTACACTTGCACAAAATGTAAATTTAAAGAAAGTGAAAATTCATAATTAAAAAACGTTCACGTTATATTTTTAATCTAGTTCTATTACAGTTTCTTTACAATACCATTGCTTTTTATTCTCATAATAATTTATTACAATTTCTGGGCAGCGAACATTGACTTGATGTGCGGGAACTAAATCTGCTTCTTTGCAATTCTTCCACATCATAAGGAACATCAGTTCACCACTTGCATCCGTAGCACCAACAATTTTCTCTGGTTCTAGACCACGATCGAAACCTCTAGCACGGTTATCTTCCGTTATATTCTTTCGTTTGGATTTATCAGCATCGTCAGAAACTGAAGGACTTGTTATTTCGAACTGGGATTCGTATGCCGCTATTAAATCAGGACAGTCCAGGTTTTCTTCTGGCTCCCAAGTATTGTCTTCTCTAAAACAAATTTAGGGCTTAGTGCCGATTTCAAAAGGAAAATGCTTTTTTCTTACTCATTGTATCCTTTCCATTTCAACAAATACTCAATTTTCCCGTTTCGTGTCCTTTTGTCGAGTATTTTTTCCACTGAAAATTCTTCAGGGGCAGTTGCGGGAGTACTTGCTTCATGAGTGTCATCTTTAGGTTTCGACATTTTATTGGAGGTTTTACAATATAGAAATTACACTGATATTTTGTATACAAGGAACACAAGAGCCGGTTAGGTTATGTTGAGTTAAAAAATAATCAGATAAACAAACTTTAGTAACTTTTTTTATTATATTGGTAGAACCGATCCGTTACAACTTTAGTACTAGGCCATTTTTGTCAATGTCTCTTTCGCCTCCGGTTCAATTTTTTTTATTAGTTTGTTTTATTAGAGATAAATATAGCTTTGTATGTTTTTCTTTCTACAATAAAAATTGTTTGTTGGGTTTAAAAGTTGTTAATACTAATTAATACATTTTTTAGATATTAATTATAGGTATTCAAAATACTGTTTTCAACAATGCAATTTTATTTAGCTTCTACTACACAGGGTATATTTTAGAAAACATGGGCCACCGCCCCAGGACAGATTCCTATCGTAAAAACACGATTATTTTTTCATATCAACACGGGTCCGATTTCGCTTCGTTTCTTAGCTACAAGGTATCAACGTTTTAAAATAAAATGTTTTTTTCCAAAAATTTAGATTTCCACTTGAGGAAATTAAATTAATCGCAGATAGTCATCAATACTCAATACCACCGACGTGAACTCCAAGTTTAATAGGGACGTTTAGAATTACAACACTTCCTTTCTTATATTGTTAAATCACAATCTGTTGGTCACTGTATTGCTTGCTTCCTGTGTACACTACATAATCATTGTGTTAGGGGTGAATTTTAACCGGACAATCAGATATCTTTATCGACAACAATAAGTGTACAGGAGCGTCATATGTTAGTAGCTGCTTGTATTACATTACAGGGTCTGTCAATCTGTTCAAAAAATCCTTCAAAATATACCTTGTTTACATTAAATTACTCTTGTAAAAATATAGGACAAAAAACTGTAACTATGAAATTTAAATGCAAAATTTCGTAGTTCTTTTAGAACTAGCTCTGTACTTCGAAATATATTCATATGAAATCTCATCAATTTTAAAATGTAGAAACCAATTTGAACTTGATAACTTTACAAACTGTATATGTACAGGGTGTCCCGAAATTCATGCAACAAAATTTGGTCACATATTCTTAAGACAAATTTAGGGGACCCGTATTTTTCATTTTAGCCAAGTGGCCCCCTCTTTCGGAGTTATACAGCCCCCTGAAGTCCGCCCCTAAGAATAATCTTTTTTTTATATCTCAGAACCCTGTTGTACGAGAATCACTAAATTTGGTACACAGGGGTTTTATGACATGTAGAATCTGATGGTGCTACGTTTTTTGACAGGGAGCCCCCTTATTAAGACAATTTTTTGCAGGTCCCTTTGTCTTTGGAGCCAAAAATATTTAGTAGCATATTTAAATTTCTTAAAAATTATCAGTCCACTAGAAAGTCATTAAATTTAGAAATTTTTTGTCTCTACACTTTTTTTCGTAGAACGCAAAGTTTTCGAGAAAAATGTCAAAATGCCCACTAAACACGAAACGTAAATGAAACGTTGCAAATGAGATGTTTTACTAAACATTTGAAACATTAACTAGAAACGTTTCTGTTTCATTACAGAAATGTAGCACTTGAAAACTTATTTAGTGAAACATAGCCGAAACGTTACAATTGAAGAGAGTTTGAAACATTACTCGAAACATTCCCTTTCGATCTCGGAAACATAACAGACGAACAACCCTTTGCTATTTTTGCTTATCTTATGGAACATTCGGCATTAGTTAAATTTTGCTCTCAATCCCCAATCCTTCTCAAGCGTTAGTTCATTTGCCTTTGTTATATAAAGACATAATTAGAAAAAAAAATGTGGTAGCATATTTATAACACAAGTCTAGAAAAAATGTATGTTCGTGACTTGCGTAGACTGCGCGTAACAGCCCGAGTTTATTTGTTTCCCGTGTGTCGTTTCAATTCGTATTATGTTAGGTTAGGTTTGCGGTTTGTCAGTTTGCTTGGTTTCGTTGTTATTCATCTTTACTTTGACGCTATTTTATGTGATAATTTGTAGTGTGTGCAGTTGTGGTTATTGTAAGGTGCATATAAAATAATGAATATTGATGCAAAATGTTTAAAACGATATGTGTAGAGATTTCCAATTTTGCGTCACATCTACCTAAATATAGTTATACCCACTACCTATTACAGACAAGAGGACAAGGGACAAGAACTAAGAAAATGGAACAACAACTATACGTTTCGATATAATTTGAAGAGCAACTACTTAGTCAGTGAGAACTATTTGAAATATGGATGAATCAAGTGAAATAGACGTCATTTATTTTATATTTTGTACAAATGTTTATATTTGTTTATGTGTATAGGCATGCTTAAATAAAAGAGTTTAGGTATACCTACAGATATTTACTTTGTCAAGATATCATTTTGTATCCTTATTTCTGCTGTATAATTTATTATTATTAAAAGGATATATGTAATATTGACCATGCGTAGAAGAAATTATAACTTTATATTATTTTTCAGTAATGTTATTTGTTTTTCATGTACCTACCATTTCAAGATTCATAATCATAACTAACTTTTTCTAATTATCAGTTCGTCATTGTTACCATATTCATGATGGTCTCAACATTAGAAAATTTCCATTTCAGAAGCGTATTTGAACAATATAAAATGTGTAGCTTTTTTTTAATGCTTCTGATATTGTTTTGTGATATTTTTATTTGTACGATGAATGGCAAAATTCGTAATCCATATTAGAAACTTTTTTCAGTGGCTTCTCAAAAAGAAAGAAATTCTTAGTAAAAGTTGCCGCATCCCCTAACTAGAAGAGCATATTTATTTTTTTTAATATACAATGTAACTTTTTTTAGTTCGAATTAAGTCATTCACAATACAAATAAAAATATCACAAAGGAGTATTAGAGATATTTAAAAAAATACTCGCACTATTTATACTATTTCAAAAACGCTTTTGAAATGAAAATGATCAAAAGTTGAGAGCATTTATGAGAACAATATGGTATTAAAATTATTATTGTTACTCAAACATTTCTGAAAATATACTGAAACGTAAAACAAAAATATCGAGTGCATAAATGGAACTTAAAAAGAATGTTACTGAAACTAATTTTTTGAAACGTTTCATTGGAAACGTATTTTGGGGAGGACATCTTGGGCTTCTAGAACGTTACCAGAACGTTGCATGGATTTTTTATGAAACGTTTCAAGAAAAATGGAAACGTTTCTGAAACATGTCAGAAACTGAAAAATGTTTAGTGGGTGTGATCGAATAAGCATATCGTGATTCGCCATTTTCCTCAAAAACATTGCGTTTAACGAAACAAATATCAATGGACAAAAAAGTGTCTAAATTCAATGACTTTATAACCAATAATTAAAAAAAAAAATCAAATTTGCGACCAAATTTTTCTGGTTCCAGACAAGGGGGCCCACGAAAAAGTGTCTTAAGGGGGTTTCTCGCGAAAAAGCGTAGCACTGTGAGATTCCACATGTCATAAAACCCCTGTGTACCAAATTTAGTGATTCTCGTACATGGCTTTGAGATATAAAAAATACTTCTTAAGGGCAGATTTCAAGGGGCTGTAACTCCGAAAGAGGGGGCTAGTTGGCAAAAAGAAAAAATACGGGCCCCCTAAATTTGTCTTAAGAATCTATGACCAAATTTTGTTGCATGAATTTCGGGACACCCTGTATGTATAAGATAGACTTATTTATACAAACCACTTTCCTTTATGAACTTTGTGTATATTTTGAAATATTATTATTCAGATGTTTATTTTGCCACCTTGTAATTTTAATTTTGTCCCGAAAAATTTAAGAATAGGTACAAATTATTTTTATGAGGCAACTTTCTATTTTAATAATAAAAATTGGACTTAATTTTTCCAAATTATATAGTACGTTTTTTTTTCATACATATTCACATTTTCAGACGAAAATACGATAAATATATGTTCCATCAAATGCAAATGTGTAAAAAGTATATTTGCTAAACAAATTTGTTTTTTCTGTCAATAAGTTTTTTCCTTTGTAAACTTATACATACCTATCTCTAAAATATTATAACGAAAATGTCATGAAAGCGAAAAGAGAAATTTTATTTTTATTATTTTTTTTTATTTCCTTAAGAGGGGGAAAAATATTTAGTGTCTATATTGCTGTTAAGAATCAAATAAATATTTTAACTAAATCCTGACAATTGCATGATAACAATCACAAATGTATTCAAATTAGTAAGGACATACTTTTTTATAAATAAATTTTGAGAGGATAAATTGTGACCTTCGGCAAATCAACCATTTTAAAAATAAGTAGAATCGTGTCTGTTCTGTGGGTCTACGAATTTGGCGGGAGTTTTAAATTTCTTAGAGAAATCGATTATTTGCCCTTTACAGTTTCTGCTTTGTTTCAAATAAAACTGAAAACTATATTTCACTAATGCATATAATATTGTAGTAATTAAATATATTCATAGCGAATTCACCTGTTACAGACATAAGAAACATCGCCATGTTCTAAAGAAGCAGGCAAACTTATCGTTCTATGTCCTTGCCATACTGGGTTGTATAATATTGTGGTAGGTACTATCAAACTAACAGTAAAAGAACTGTTTTTAACTTATGGCTAGATAGACTACGTGACTATACCCGATTAAAAGATAAGAAACAATCAAAGCAACATAGAAAAAATATAAACTAACTGAATAAAATTATAGTTAAAAAAAAACTAAATAGTTTTTAATTTTGACGCATTGATGAAGATTTTTTTATTTAAAAAGTTTATTCACTGGACGATTAGAGTCTTTATTACAAGCAAATTTACCAATAAACCGGTAAGGGCCTGAGAGGTCGCAAGCGGGTTGGATGGCGGCAGAACCGCCCTTAAACTGACGAACCGCCCCTTGGCACGCGCCGATCATCATCTCGTCATTAGAGAGTTTAAATTCAGGTTTGCAGAGTTCAAGTGGTTGCCGGTGGGTGTTAAACCGACTTGTGGAATATAAGAAGTCGCAAGTTCAATGGAAATGTCTGGAATTCCCTCCTAATAAGGGTAAGCATATTGAAATATATATATTTTTGGTAATTTCCGCAGAAAAAGTTAATCAAACAAAATCAAAACAATATCTCTTTTAGGACGGTCAATTAATCCAGGTGATTTTTTTTAGATTTTTCTTAGACAAAAAATTGATTTAGTCCAAAATTTTTGTGAAAACCAGCAAAAATTTTCAAAAACATAAAAGTGTACAAAATCTAGAAATAAACATCCAAACTAACGTTTTTAGATCTGGCAGACATGCTGCTGTGGTATTAGTTTTTCAAAGCTGTATACTCCACTTCCACAGAAATCGCAAGAAATTTTGAATAAGTTAGATATCTGCGTAAACAAGACTAAGTAATTCTCTGAGTATAAATATTTTAAAAAATCAGTAGAACTTTTGTTATGAAAAATAGTATCGTCATTTAGAAAATATTTTTAAATAATTCATAAAATATATAAAACATTACGAAATTGAGAGCATATAATATTATTTAGTAATGATTTATTAATAGATTTCAATAATACAAAAATTTTAACTAATAATAAAAAATATTTAAAGATTCTGATGAGAACCAATAAGTTCGAAACCGGTATTGGTATATATTATGTTTGGTGTGATTCTCCTGATCATAGCTAATTAGTAATTACTATAGATAAAAGAGGTGTATGTCAACTCTGAAGTGAGCTATAGCCCGTGTAGTATAGTTGTTGCTTCCTACTATACAGGGTGTCCCGCCGAGAACTGCGTCGATCGATATCTAGAAAAGTACTGATCCGAAAAATTTGAAAATTTGGCAACATGGGAATGTCCCTGGGGCGAACACAACTAAAATATCTAGAACTCTCCATCACTTCCGGTTATACCGGAAGTCGACACCAACTTCGTTATTTTAAATGGGACACCCTATATATTATTGTATTTTCGAATTCTACGTGAAATTTGAGGGTCACTTTATTAAATATTCCCTATACCTAGGAGTTATAGAATCTGAGACATTAATATTTAAAGAAAAAATTTGACAGGTGCAAGGGTCCGCGGAGATGCTAGTAACTCTTTTCAGGAACATGATATCGAGTGGATTTTTGGTACCTGCAAAGAGCATAAGTAACACTAAATTATGGTATACCAACAAATTAAAACATTTAATACTAGATGTTTCATTTTTGCTGTTAAATTTTGATAACTTCAAACAGCTATAACTTTGTTAACTTAAATGGAACAACCTGTATTTTTTTTACTCTGCCGTATGTAGATTAAAATTTCCTTTCAAGCCATATAAATATTGTTAGGGTTGCCGTTATTACTTTTAAAGAAATTTCCAATTTTCTATTTTTTGAACAGTTTTTCTCGTATCAGACCTGTTGCCAAAGGTTGCCAGAAACACGCCATAAACAATTGAAATAATTTGACATTTGTCATGTTAGTTGTCAAATTATTGTTGCGTCAGAATAGCTTTTACTGAAAATTTAAATAAAAAAACCTGGGGATCGTTTAAATTATACTAATGAGTATTCTTTTAATTTGTTTGTTATTTTAGAAAAATGTGACAAAGTAATTTCAACATGTGGACAATTTGCTACTTTTTTCCACAAATAACAAACGAATTAAAATAATCCTCATTATTATAGTATAATTTAAACGATCCACAGGCATTTTATTTAAATTTTCAGCAAAAACTATTCAGACGCAACAATAATTTGACAACTAACTTGACAAATGTCAAGTTATATCAGTTGTTTTTGGAGTGTTTCTGGTCATGGCCAATTTGACAACAGGTCTGATACGAGGACTGTCCAAAAAATTGCAAATATCTCTAAAAGTAGTAACGGCAACCCTAACAATGCTTACAGGGCTTGAAAGGAAATTTCAATCTGAATACGACAGAGTAAAAATACAGGGTGTTCCATTTAAGTTAACAAAGTTATAGCTGTTTGGAAGTTATCAAAATGTAACAGCAAAAATGAAACACCTAGTATTAAATGTTTTAATTTATTGATATACCATAATTTAGTGTTACTTATGCTCTTTGCAGGTACCAAAAATCCACTTGATATCGCGCTGCTGAAAAGAGTTACTAGCATATCCGCGGACCCTTGCATTTGTCAAATTTTTTCTTTAAATATTAATATCTCAAATACTGTAACTCCTAGGTATAGGGAATATTTAATAAAGTGATCCTCAAATTTCACGTAGAATTCGAAAATACAATAATATATAGGGTGTCGACTTTAAAATAACGAAGTCTGGAGAGTTCAGGGACATTGCCATGATGCCCAATTTTCAAATTTTTGGGGGCAGCACTTTGATAGATATCGATCGACGCAGTTCCTGGTGGGACACCCTGCATGTATAATTATTACCTAGGCAGTTATTTTTATTATTTTTACGCCTAGTATGACACTAGAGGTTTATAGATCGCTCTTTGCTAGTAGGTACAGAGCAATGCTTTGTGCCAGTAGGCATTGTACTGACAATTAAGACATGATGATATAATTTGTAGGTTATATCTCACCTACAAAGGCAAATATTCCTACTTTCTTTGCCAATATCCACAGTTTTCCTTACATTTTATATCTCTATCAAGCTGTAAATAACCCTCAAATGGTTTAAAACAGTAGAAAATGTATTTTTTATAACTATAATTGTATGAATAATAAAATAGATATTTTTACCCGATATAATTAAAACCTGTAGTTCATTTGTGTGCCACTGCTTTGCCAACTTAAAAACCCAATATTTGAGAAAGAAGAAAATTTGTTTAGCAACGCACTTTTTTTTCGTTCAGCTATTCCTGTTTTCGAAGATGACATCTAGCAACGTCTTTACCACCACCAAACCCAAGGCCAACCAACCGTCGTCGCCGAGGGAATTCTTCCAAAAGATTTACGGCCACCTCGAGACGGGATCTCCCAAAGAAGAAAGTTCTTCCTTCGACACCAGGAAACCTAGCACTGAACTGATAGCACCCATACCGATATTGGCTGCTCCGTTGCCCTTCATCTTGCCCCACGGAAACGAATCGCAGTTAGCTGCAGCCGCGGCTGGATTGACAGCGTTCCGTAAGTAGTTTTTGTTTTTTATCTCAATCAAAAAGTTAATCAAAGTTTTATGACCCCGAAAAAAAAAGATTTTTCCATCGTTTTTTGCGATATTTGAAATCGATTTGAGCCTCGCGCAATATTTGCACATAATAGTGTACTTAATTATTGAAGAAAATTTTAAGCCCAACCCCGTTCCTAAAGATGTGGTGGCCTATGGACTAAGGGGATTTTACAAAAACGCATTTTTTTTTCGAAAAACGATTTTTGCAAAAAACTATAAAATATTTTTCAATTTTGAGAAAATCATTTCATTTTGCTCGTCAAGAGTTAACCTTTTACCAAGTTTCATAAAAAAATATTTATTTTTGAAAGAGATACAGCTATTTGAAAAAAATGCGATTTTTAGCGTTTTTTTTGCAATAACTAATAAATTTATTTATTTTTTCTAAAATGTTTAGTTTTTTTTATAAATGAAAATCTGTTTTTTGCGAACTTTGGACGCCATTTTGAAAATGAAGCCCAAAAATTCAGGTGAATTACTGAACTATTTTTTGGCGAAAAACTGAGGTATTTTCGACAATTTGATTGGACTATTATATTTCAAATACTTTAAATAAGCGATGGCTTATTTAAAATATTTTCTCTATTTAATTTTTGACGATGAAAGAGTAATTTTTTTCCTTATCTTGTGCATGAATATCCCTTAATTCTAGCAATAACAAGTGGATACTACTGTGTGTCCAGTGACATATTTATTACCTCTTTTACTTTTTTATCACCAAATCGTCAGTTGAAATACAGGGATGGCCAGAAGTACGGAATAAAATTCATATTTTTTTTGAATGAGTTAATTTTTTTTAAAACGCCGAAACACTAACTGATTTTTATTTTTTCCCATCTTTCGGTTATATAATAATTAATTTTTCTTCAACCCCCTAACCCCCAGCTACCCCTACTTTTTTTTCAAATGGAAACATAAGGCATGAGGGGGCTCGTTGAAAAGCTTATAGAAAACCGAATCCAGCCATACCAAATAAACAAGTTTTATTTTTTCAATAGCAAGGTTTTTAGGGTTGTATAAAACACCTACTTAACAAGTGAAATAAAATTTAATTATCTTCAGTGTTATCCTCCATGAATTTGCACAGAATAAAATAAAGAATTTGAAACTGTACCTATCACTGCTAACGCAAAAAAGATATATTTTTTATGTTGCGTTTTTTTGGCACCACTTACTTGCCAGGCTTTCTGGTTAATTTTTCGCTTTAGTTGTAAATTGGAGTTCGAAACGTTACTATTGTGTCAAAATCAAGTTATTTACTGAATTGCAATGGTATTGTCGGAAAGGCAACGCATCGAAATCTTGATATTGCTTGGATGTGGAGACAAAATAAGAAGTCAGGCTGAAGTGCGCGATTTATTTAATGCGAAATATCCCGAAAACCAAATCTCGCAAGGGACAGTTAGTAAAATATTTCACAAATTTGAGGAACACGGTACAGTACAGACTTTGCCCAAAACTGGACGGGCACGTGCTTTGAATGAAGAAAAGAAATTAGACATTGCATTAGAACTTGTTGAAAATCCTCATACTTCAACTGTTTCATTGGCCCGCAATCACGATGCTTCTCGAACTGCAATTCGAATGTTTCTGAAACAAGAGAAATACCACCCCTATAAGGTATGTCTTGTCCAAGAGCTTTTGGAAGACGATTATGATAGGCGATTACAATTTTGTGAGGAAATGATGAGACGGTGTGACGACAATAATGGTTTTCAACGAGACGTACTTTTTTCGGATGAAGCTACGTTTTATTTAAATGGAGTGGTTAACAGGCACAACTATCGCTTTTGGTCCCAGGAAAATCCACACTGGACATGCGAATCGCATACGCAGCATCCACAAAAAGTTAATGTATGGGCAGGTATCATCAACAACAGAATCTTGGGCCCATTCTTTTTTGAAGAAAATCTTACTGCCGCACGCTACCTGGATTTCCTAACATTTGACCTGATACCTGCTCTAGCTGTGATTTTCCCTTATGAAATTGATCCAGATATACCGAATGAAAAAATTTGGTTCTAAAAAGATGGCGCTCCCCCACATTTTGGCATTGATGTTCGAAGATACTTAGATGAAATCGCTGGATTGGTAGACGGGGTACAGTTGAATGGCCGCCAAGATCCCCCGACTTAACACCCCTGGATTATTTTCTTTGGGATATTTGAAAGAAAGGGTCTACCAGGACAGACCGGATAATATTGAGAATTTAAAGAACTAGATTAGGGCGGAGATGCATAATTTACCAGCTGAAGTCATTCAGAATGCTATGGACAGCTTTTACTATCGTCTTGGAGAACGCCAAATAGTGAATGGAGGACATTTTCAGCATTTGCGACATTGATTTTATGTTTGTAAATTATCTAGTTGTTTCAATTTCTAAATGAAAAAAAAAAACTTGTTATTGAAAAAAATAAAACTTGTTTATTTGGTATGGCTGGATTCGGTTTTCTATAAGCTTTTCAACGAGCCCCCTCATGCCTTATGTTTCCATTTGAAAAAAAAAGTAGGGGTAGGTGGTGGTTAGGAGGTTGAAGAAAAATTAATTATATAACCGAAAGATGGGAAAAAATCAAAATAGTTAACGTGTTTCGGCGTTTTAAAAAAAAATTAACTTATTCAAGATATGAATTTTATTCCGTACTTCTGGCCATCCCTGTATATTGTCTATAATTAGACTATTAATTATTTTATGAAAAACTAAACTATCTAGATTTGGAGGGTTTTGCAATAACTTTATTGTCATATGGTTTATAATAATGTTACTTCTTCTAATCTCAATATATTTCTTGAAGTACCTCAAGGTTCAATTTTAGATCTTCTTCTGTTTATTATTTATATATCTGACATCTACTATTATAACTTTCAGAAATTAAAATAGTGCTCATAAAAAACAAATTAGTTACCTTTATCAATGGTGTAAAGTTGTCATAAGTTGATACTGCCAAAGAACTTGTTTAACAGTAGACACTGATATCAGGATTAATTGCATGTCGATAGAATTTTGCAGAAAACACACAATCCATTAAAATTATTATATGCTTTGTGACACATTGTACCTATTACCACATTTTAATTATTGCGATGTCATCCATTCCTGTCTAAGTTAGTAATGGTTAATAAATTTCGCATAGGTACAAAAACTTCGCAATGTTTGTCGTTCTCTTGGATTTCGTGTTAACGGTACCCGTGATGAATACAGTAACGATAATCTGAATAACGAAACACGGCAATCCCCACGGATATCGCCGCGAAAAGTCCTTCTTCCTTCACGCAGCGGATGGACAATCAATTACGAATTATCCCCGGTTAATTTAGCATCCCCAGGTAACACTAATAGGTTTCGCGAAGCGGTGGGACGGGGCCATATGCCTCCTTCCGTTTCCGTCAATCACGACTGCAACGGTGCCCCATATGTCGTTCTCGAGGATCCACAGTGGCACCGTTCACACGCTCTTTGTCTGGTATGGACAGACCTTGGCTACGGAGCATCCTCAGCGTCTTCCTCCGGCGACGTATTAAAAAAATTCTTATCCAAAGCCGGCAGTCAATAGCCCTTTTCTTTTATTCATGATTTCGGAATCATAACGCGTTACGATCCAATGGAAACCAATCAGGTTGCTAGATTTCGGATCGTAACGCGTTATGATTCTAAAATCGTGAATAAAAGAAAGGAGCTAATGTTCTTCTCAGTTCTGAAAATTGAAGCAGATTTTCGAAGCCTCAACAACTTAAGGTTGTCCCAGAAATAATATCGAATTCTATGATTTTTTTTTATTAAAAAGCATTAAGTAAATGATAAAATATATGTCTATATTTTTGATAAATAATTACATCGAAAAATGAAAATTAAAAAATTATTACTCAAATTTTTTCTTTGCCTCATTTTAAGGAATGCTTTCTTAAACCTATTTTATATTGACAATTTATTGATGAATTGATTCATGAAGTCGCTTCATCAAGAAATTGGACAAGTGTAATGCACCAAAAGTTCTTAACGAATTAGAACATGTTCTAATTTTCGTCAATTTCTTCGTGAAGTTCAGAAGAACCAACCCAACAGATTTCCAGCCTCAGATCAGTAATGAGGTTATGTTATTGGAATATGTAAAATTGTGTGGCGTCGTACTAGTTTTGCATTATTTTTTATTAATTTATTACTTACAAAAACTAATATTTATATAATATGTGTCAGAACGGTACCACTGTTGTATCACTACAATTATGAGTGGAAACCCACTAAACACGAAACGTAAATGAAACGTTGCAAATGAGATGTTTTACTAAACATTTGAAACATTAACTAGAAACGTTTCTGTTTCATTACAGAAATGTAGCACTTGAAAACTTATTTAGTGAAACATAGCCGAAACGTTACAATTGAAGAGAGTTTGAAACATTACTCGAAACATTCCCTTTCGATCTCGGAAACATAACAGACGAACAACCCTTTGCTATTTTTGCTTATCTTATGGAACATTCGGCATTAGTTAAATTTTGCTCTCAATCCCCAATCCTTCTCAAGCGTTAGTTCATTTGCCTTTGTTATATAAAGACATAATTAGAAAAAAAAATGTGGTAGCATATTTATAACACGTCTAGAAAAATGTATGTTCGTGACTTGCGTAGACTGCGCGTAACAGCCCGAGTTTATTTGTTTCCCGTGTGTCGTTTCAATTCGTATTATGTTAGGTTAGGTTTGCGGTTTGTCAGTTTGCTTGGTTTCGTTGTTATTCATCTTTACTTTGACGCTATTTTATGTGATAATTTGTAGTGTGTGCAGTTGTGGTAATTGTAAGGTGCATATAAAATAATGAATATTGATGCAAAATGTTTAAAACGATATGTGTAGAGATTTCCAATTTTGCGTCACATCTACCTAAACATAGTTATTTATACCCACTACCTATGATAGACAAGAGGACAAGGGACAATAACTAAGAAAATGGAACATGGA